AAAGAATATTTTAATCACTTTTTTCTTTCAATTCACTCTCTAGTCAAGAAGTAGGCACATAATTTCGGTATCCTGATATTTTCATCTCCTGTAATCAAGAAGAGTCCATTTCCTCTGTTTCCTTTCAGTGTGTTGATCTCTGTGAAGAGCTGAAGTCATTAGTCATTTAAATTTTCCTGGGGCTTGTTTTGTATGATTGTTTTCTAGATATTATATTCCAGTTATGACTTTGGCAAGAAAACTACATAGTACTTTGAATGTTCCACTGAATCACAGTGGTGAGGCAGAGGCACATAATGTCACATATGCCATTATTGGGTTATGCTAAGATTCTCACCTAGTGAGTTGGAATCTGCCAGATCTCTCCATTGAAGGGGTTCTGCTTTTTATGTGTAAATGATGAAAATCTATGGCATGGTACTGTAAGACTGAACACCCTGCTTCCCAAATTACACATCCAATGGTTTTATCTTTCATTAATGATCCTCGCCTGACCTGATGATCTTGACCTGAATGGTTACAAATAGGTGATTTTTCTAATTTCATCATTTCTTCTGTATTTTTAAGCTAGGATAAATCTGTAATGAATATCTCTCCCATACCTTTAAATGAAGACAAACAAACTGCATGACAATGACAAGAGCTCAATAGTTTTATCCTTGCCACTACACTTGTTACCATCCCAGAAGATGTCATTTGAAACTTAATCATGTGTTTATTCACAAATGCGCTGTGAACAGATACTATGGCCATTTCCCATGTCAACAGAGACTTCAACTTTAAGTCATAATCTACACATAAGGTTGGTGAAAACTGAAATGATGGAATAGGGCAGCAAGTGTGGACAGCCATTAGTGTCCAAGCTTGATGAAAAGGAGGACAGATTCAGAAGGTTGCACCCAAATATCCAAGTACTCTGGATTCGAATATGATTGCAGGACACTTCAGTAAGATTGTTGTCACTGGCCTTAAGCTCATGCCTCTTATTACTTGGTCTATCCATCTGGAAATGGTACTGCTCTTCTTTGGAATGGGATTTCCTCATCTGCACATCAAAATATTTAACTACATGATTACCACTCTGTCTTCAACCTTCATGACTTCCTTACATCTCTGTTCATCTATGTCTCTTGTTTCTAGGGTACAACCATATTAATTTCCCTGACTTCTGTGCTACGTGACAACAAAGAATTTCCCAACCCAGAGATGTTTGACCCTCGTCACTTTCTGGATGAAGGTGGCAATTTTAAGAAAAGTAACTACTTCATGCCTTTCTCAGCAGGTAATATAAATGTATTTCCA